CAGTAAGCGCTGTGGTCTGAACACTTGCCTGGACAGTAAGGGAGGTCAGCCTAGCATCAGAGGCCCCTAGAGCACAGGGCCGCTGGCTGGTCCTGTGCCCCCTTCTCTCTACTTTAACTCCATTCTTGCAAGGTGCCTGTCATCCTAATGGCAGGACACCTGCCCAGGGCCATTGCTGTGAGCAAGGCAGCACCATCATGAGTTGGGGAGCGAAGGCCACAGCAAGTCTCCAGGCAAGGGTTAGCGATCGATGCTGCTCCCTAGCCTAGACCGTGTCCACCGAGGAGACAAGGCACAGTCACCAGAGTCTGCTCCCTGCTCTGCTTCTTGTTTGCTTGTTACATGATCTTGGCTAAGATCATAAAATGGGAATAAGATATGGATTCCTATCGCAGGGGCTTGCGTGAGGATTAAATGAGATTAACACTAGTAAGTAGTCACCCCGATTCTCAGTGAATGGTAACTTTCATCATCCCTAGTAATAACAACAGAGTGTCCCCAGATCACTTAGGCTGCTCCTGCGGCTCGGTGTGGGCCCAATTGCATCCATGTTCTCATTTCATTTAAATTCATAGTTTTTATTCAGAGCCAAGTAAGGTAGACTCCCTTGTAAAGGAAAGAGATATTTTGAACCATTAGTGTTAGTTTATTCTGATGTTGTTCAAATATGTCTAAACATATTTCACAGCTTGTATTGTTCTTTCCCAACTCCAAAAGCAAAACAAATAAGATAAAGATACAGAAATAAAATAAGTAAAAGGCAACTGACGCTAGTGAACGTGGCATGAGGACGTGGTGATGTGGTGCTCTCCTGCTTGGCCGAGGGGTCATGCCGCGGCTGGCCCGTGTGCTCTTGGTACCTGGGTCTGCCGCCACATTCCTCTTAGAAGAGTATTAATATTAATTTTTAAATTAAATGCATTTGCTTATTTTCTCACATAGTTGTTAATCTTTTTGCAGTATTCGATTTCCCCTCTTAGGTGTAGCCCCCACAGTTCTCCCACCCCCAGAGCACCTGTGATTCGTCACTGCAATCTCTTGTGCTCTTCTCCCCCCTGTTTTGGGCCCTCTCCCTCCTTTCTCTGATGTAAGGCTCCGATGAATGTTCAGCTTGCAAATTTTGTCTTTTCCCTGACCCCTTGTTCAGTTTCTCTATATTCCACCTGTAAGTGAAACTACCTAGAATTTATCTTCTGACTTATTTTGCTTAGCACGATCTCTTCCAGCTGCATGTTGCTTCAAATGGCGTGAGTGTATCGTTTTTGATCGCCAAATAGTATTCCGTTATGTGTTTGTACCACATCTTGATCCATTCACCTGTTTGGGGGAATTTGGGTTGTTTCCATATCTTGTCTGTTGTAAATAGTGTTGCAGTAGACATAGGAGTGCAGGTTTGCTTCGGATCAGTATTTTTGTCTTCTTTTGGTAGATTCCTAGGAGTGGCCACCCTGTATCTCTCTAAATAGTGTGTTCATTGGCACAAATGCCTCATTTACATTATCATCCTGCTCCTTCTCTTCTTCCTCATTAGCCTCTGACATTCAGAGCAGGATGACCCCGCTGCAGAATGATTGTAAATGCATGTACACACAAACACGGGCACCCCAGTCCTATGGCAATATCCAATTGTAACGTAGTCATCCAGAGAAGCGGGCATATTCTTGCATCCAATTTTAAAAGCATTATCTTCTACATGAAATGTCCGAACTGAAATTCTCAAAAGGTCTCTATCTGAGTACTTTTGGCAGATACCAATTTGAGAAACATTGGTTCACATCCTGCCTAGAAACTTAAAGTATTTGAAGCAGCCTCCAAAAGTAAACAAAATACAGAAAGTAGGTAAGAGCAAGGGTCTGGATGGAATGTAAGAGTGAAAAGAGCCAAAATTGTCACCGACTAGCCTGGCAGCATGAGCAAAAGGTGAAACACACCTTGTGAGCTGGTTCTTATGTCTATAAAGGAAATAGGCATGTTCTCGGAAGGCACAAACCTACTACTGCATTTGAGGAGTATTGCTGTTTGAGTCCTTTAGACTTTTAAAAATAATTTCTTTTAAAATGACTCTCAAGACCTCATAAAAGCTGAGAGGATGTTGGTAGCTTTATAGCACTGGGCACGCCATTCGTGTTTCCATGTTACTTCTCACTGGGGAGGACCTCAGATTTGCAGAGTGCTCTCATTCAGTTATTTGAGTCTGATGACAGCAAAGGTGGAGTTATCTTCAGGGAGGGAAAGGGTTGAGAGGGACTCCCACACTCAAGTGGAGCAGTTTGGGTTTCTCCCACTCTGTCATTGGGTCTCAGTGGTGCTTCTCTTGGTTGCATTTCCTTCAAAGGAAGCTGCATACGCCCATGGTTGGACCTTGGCCTGGTCTGTAATGTAAGTGATGGCGTCACTCAGTGCTACCAAAATCACCCTGCAGAGTGAATGGCCTCCTGCCTGACTTCTTGAAATGACTTAGCTGCCGATAGCTATCTAAGATGACTAAATGAATAGTCCTATTGGGAGTTGTTGCTTACATGGTCCGTCTGAACCCTGGGGGGGCACCAGTGCTGTGCTACAAGGGTCAAGCTTGTTTTTGTCAAGCTGGTAAAATGACTGATCCAAAGATTCAGTTCCTTCTTTTCTCTTCACTCCAGTATTCATTACTGAAGTGACTTTCTTACTGTGGAAAGGATGAACATAATTGAATGGCTGGAAGAAGGGAAGGAAGAAAAGAGGGAGGGGGCATGTACAATCCACATATTTTCTGTTGACTTTAAAATGTTCTTTCTTAATGTATTGATAATTGGTATCCTACAACATAAGATACATGATTTTATATCCTTCTATTTTTCTTAACATAATGCCATGCACTTTTACTTAAAACTATTTGAAAATAATATTTTTAATATTCTGTCATCAGAAAGGTTGTTTCCGTTTTTCACTGATGTAAATTTTGATTTAGCAGACATCCTGGTTCATTATCTCTGTCTGCATTTTGTATATCTATTTTCCTCCTTTAGTGAGATTTCTAGATGGAACAATTTATGTGGCCCCACGTATGAACATTTTAAAGACTCTATGTTACATGGTCACATACCTTTCCAGAAAAGTTGTAGTTCCAGTTTCAAGTGAGAGTGTCTGTCCTACCTCATCTTCAAATAGCAAACCGAGTCTACTGTCAAACATTTCCTAATTTGGAAAGGTAGAACAGCATTATGTTACTTTTATTTGCATTCCCATGATGGCACCTGTTAATGAATGGTATTTTATTTTGGGCAATTGGAAGATAATTGTATTTCTTCCTTTGCGAGTTGTCTGCTTACTGGGAATTGTGTTTTCAAAGAAATGAGTATGACTTTTTCATATATTAAAGAAATTAACATCTTGTCATATCTTTTTCAAATTTTTAACTGGTTTATGATTGGCCTTTGGAATTTTTTGTTACTTCTTTATTGAGATGTAACTTACAATTCACATAACTTAAAATTTACCCATATTTCAAAACTCACTGCGAGGAGATCACATACTTATACTGTAAATTGTATTTGAAACTGGGTTTTTTTTATTATTGCCATAGATTTTCTGCTTATTTTGAGACATTTGGTAATTTATATTTTTCTATAAAAAATGTACTGAAAGTTTTCAGATTTCTTAGCATCAAGTTTTCATATTGGTCTGCTTCTAAAAATTCTTCTACATATCTGTTATGAGTATTATTCCATTCTCATTTGGCTTAGTTATATTTTCTCTATCCTTTTTTTTTAAATTTGTAAGAGCATTGACTCTTTAGCCACCCACTATGGAGCTAGTAATTTGGGAGAAATGGAGAGTCCAGTGCTGTGGGGTTTTTAAGGCGATCACTCAGCCCCTTCCCTGGCCTGAAGGGACCTCCCTGGAGGTCCTTGCCTTATAGTTACAGCAGGGAGTGCAGCCTGTTCCCTGTCCTGACCTGGGGTCAGGGGTACAAGCCTGTGACTACACCTTTCTATTGGGACATCTCAGTGACCTGATCCACCACCCCATCTTTCTGCCATGACTGATTGGCTTGAGCTCTGCAAAGCCTAGCCTGCAGGAACCTTACCCTGTCAGCTCTATTAGATTGTGAGCTCCCAAAAGGCAGAACTGACATCTAGTTCTTACGTCCCCTCAGTCCCTAACACATTTGGCTGGCTCTGTAAGCAGTTTAGGAATGAAGATGAGTAAGCCCAAGAAAGCCACTGGAGGAAACTTCCTTCTTCTCGTAACCATTCTATTTCTTTCTCTTTGAGGAAGAGCTAATAAAACTTTACACTGTCTCCAGAAAAGTTTGGCAGATATCCTCACACAGACCATGCACATCTAGAACCTTGCACACACATGGGTTTATCAGTTGGTGGGCCCCTGCTTCTGAGCCCCTGCCTTAGAGCTCTGGTCATTTTCACCAGCTCCATCCCAGCGTCATGTGGTTCTGAGCCACACCCTCGGTACCCCAGCTTTCTTACTCTGAATCTGGGTGTGCTCTGAGGGTGTTAGCAGCAATACTGATCTGGAACCTGATTACACTATCTAAGATTTACTTCTTTTCCCTCTTGCTCTAGAGGGGGGTACATTGACCATGAGGCTGAGGAATAGTGACTTCCTGGACAGCACATATTTAACTTGTTCTTGACCCCAGCTAAGGAAAAGGAGCTCCCTTTCTTCAACACCACCAAAGCCAGTCCTGTAAGAGTGGAGGAGACACTTCTGGAAACCTATAGGTTGAGAGCAGGCCTGCCATCCTCTGGCAGAGCCTACCCAAAACTTCATGACCTTCCTCTCCACCATCATCCTCCGTGACCCTACTCTGTGGCCTATTTGGTGGTTGAATTTCCCCCACGAAGTTCTCTTTCATGATATCCTGAGTCACTCCCTTCAGCTTGTATTTGTTTGCCATTGGGGCTGTTTCCTATTTGGTAATGTTTGGGGCTTCCGTGGGGTAATGTTTGGGGCTTTCATACCCACCAGTTCTCTTTCCAGTGGTGTTCTCTGTTCCGTAGATTCTGGCTGTGACTCAGTCACTGACACTGAGACTGAGGACGAGAAGGTCCTTCCCTACTCCAAGCAGCAGAGACTGTCACCAGAGCCTTCACCTGGGAACCTGATGGTGGTGCAGCCAGACCGCATCCGCTGTGGGGTAGGTGCTCCTGGGCCGGTGTGTGGGTGTGTTTGTGGTGGTAAAGGGAGCAGGGTTCTCCTCTTGCACGTCAGTGTAATTCCAGCCTTGCTGTGGAGTTTCCCTGTAGGTTAGCTACCTTGGGAACCCTGGTACCCGGGCCTAGGCCATACTTCACTCTAAGTCAAAGGAAAATGAGCCCAGAGTGCTGCTCAAACTAAGAATTTTAGTTCACAGATCAAAAATGTAGAATATGTGGGAGAACTGAGTGAGCCTTACTGACACTTATACCAACCATGGAGTAGATTTGTTTTTGCCAGCCCAGTGCTGGGAGGAAGGAGCTGCAGGCCATTTTGAGAGCTTGCTTCTTTGTTGACTGACCAATGGTCAATGAGAGACTGGAAGCTTGATGGCTGAAAATTGCTCGTTGATATTGCTGGCTAGAGGGTTAAGATAAATGCATAAGGCAGCTAACATTTCGGGTTGGGGATGGATGGTTTGGGATGGATGGCTTGAACGTGATGGCCCATCCATGGGCCCCTAGCATTTCATCCTGACATAGTATTTAAGACTCACATTATTTTTCCTTTCCCAATGAAAAATGCGTGGTATTAATGATAATTCAGAGCAGCAAAATGCTTCCTGTGGGTGCCAGTCCTTTGCTAAATTTTCCACCTGGGACTTGAGACAACAGGATGGGAGAGCTTTGGCAACGGGGGATTCTAGCTTCCTCGCACTGCGAGTGGTTTTCTGCGAAGCCCAAGGCAATGAGGCATGGAAAAGGGCCTCCTACAAGTAGGTAGCTACATTCATAGATATGTTTGGTTTGGAAGGCCCAGTGTTTTACAAATTAGGCGTGAAAATTGGTGTTTCCATCTTCCATTGAATCAGAATCTGACAATATAGGCCTGAGATGGGTTGCAGCCCGTCAGCTATCACTGTATCCTTCAGTTCCCTCCACTCTCCTTTCTTTATTGTCAGCCTCCTTCATGCCTTGCCTTAGCGCCAGGCCTCTGTGGACATTTCCGCTTTCAGTGTCCCCGTATTCCCTCGTATGTCCCTCTGCCCCTCTGTCCCTAGTTCATGCTGCTTGCAGGTGAGGTTGTTGGACTAAAGAATTGTGCCCTCCCCATGCCTCCCTGAAACTGCAGACTTTGTTCCTTCCCTTCCTGGCTCCCCACTCACCCAGGATTCTCCTTGTTGCACACTTTGGGTTTCTGGGTTCCGGACTGGCTGGGCTGAGTTTGGATCCTGAGTGTCAGTAGAGAAGGTGTTTTCCTTCTTTCTGGCATCCTATACTCTGTGGAAGAAAGAGCTGTTAGCAAGGCAGGGCCTGCGGTGGGAATTAGACCAACCATGGATGTGTTCGCGTTTAGCTTTGCAGCTCCCAGGAGCCAGGGTCATGCCCCCTTTCCTGGTGTGAAGTTGTGACTGTTGTCTTGAAGGGCTAGTAGGAGGATTTAGTGGAATTGAGGTTGAACATAGGGATTAGTGGAGGCCAGAAACTTTCTTTCCTTTCCCCTATTTTTTGGAGGACCTATCTTTTCCAGTTCAAAGTCTTGAGAGGTCCATATCCCAGCTCAGCCAGCAAAACGAAACAAGAAAATCCCATCTGGTGTCTCAGCAAGAGATCCCAAAACAAGATATTCAGATTAACCAGTGTCTTGGGAAAATCAATTCTTTAGTAAGTTATTTTTGTGCAATCAAGAACAGCATAAGGAGCAAAACCCAAGAGGGCTTCTCTAGGCTGGTACTGTCAAACTGAGGTGCTTGGGAGTCACATGGGGCCTTGCAGTGCAGACTTTGATTCTGTGGCTCCATGAAGGGCCTAAGATTCTAAGAAGTGTGCAGGGCATGCTGATGCCATGGCCCCTTGGCCTCACCTTCAGTGGCAAGGCTAGTCTAGAACAGTGCTTCTCAAACCATCTATCATGAGGAACACTTTTGTACGTTAAGGTTCTAATTCACTAGATCTTAGCATTATTGAGATCTAATTGACACACCTCACTGTCAAATGTGTGCATTTAAGATGTACAGCGGAATGATTTGATTGGAATATTGCACAGTGATCACCAAAGTAAGGTTAGTTAACATTCATCACCTCAGATAGGCCAACAAAAGAAAAAAAAGAAAAGAAGTATTTTTTTCCTTGTAATGAGAACTTTTAGGGTCTGTTCTTGATATAACCATAAACTACAATAAAACAAAATGCTGTGAAGATGAAATCAAAGGTATATAATACAAGTATTGGGTTTTTAAATTAATTAGGTTCAACAGATATAAAATTACTTCATCAAATTGTAGAAAGGTTTACAACTGTACACTCTTAGTGTGTGTAACTTGTTTGATTGGGCCCCATGGCAAACATTCCCTGCCCAGCACTAGGCTCCAACCCCCAGCCCCATCAGGAACAGCTTCCCAACTTCGAGTTGGGGTCAAGGGTGCAGGGTGACCCTATTCCCTCACAGAGGGCCCAGGAGAGTGAGGGGACGATGACTGATCTCCCATTCCAGGCAGAAACCACTGTCTACGTCATAGTGCGATGTCAGCTGGACGAGAGGGTGACGACGGAAGCAGAATTTTCTCCCGAGGATTCTCCCTCAGTAAGAGTGGAAGCCAAGTTGGAGAATGAGTACACAGTTTCTGTGAAGGCTCCCAGTAAGTGACCTCACCTTTAGATAGTACTATCGTGTCTGGAAGACTGACTCTAGCTTCTTTTACTTGTGCTGAATTACTTAACAAGATTTGGATCTGGTTATCATATTCTATTTTAAAGGGGAAGGACACTGCAGATATATACATTTTTATTACAACAAAGTTAACGCCTTAAAAATTTTTGAAGTTAGAGAAAAGTAGGAAAAAAGTCATCTGACACCTCACAACTCAGTCTTTGGTGACAGTTTGTAAATATAGTTGTGCTAATGCTATCTATTGCTTTGTAGTCTGGGTTTTTTTTTTTTTTTTGTATGTAATCTTTCATCTGTTCTCTCCCCACCCCCCTTAACCTCATGCCATAGCTTGGCCTTTGTAACTTTATATTTTTATAACATTTTTCCATTATAAAAGTAATGTTTTGCTCAATTTAGAAAATTTAAAGAATACAATAACCATAAAGGAAATTAAGTAGAAGATATTATTCATGCACTGACCCCAGAGGAAGTCTCTGGTTTCTGTATTTTTCTGCATCTGTTTACAGTTCCATAGTGTCATATTGCCCATTTTTGTTACACAAGAATATACTGTGAATATTTCCCATGTTAATAAAATTCACTCACAACTTGGTATTAATGGTTGCAGAGTAACCCATTGTGTAGGTGACCATCAATTATAAAACCCTTGTGTCTCTGTGTCAGTCCCAACTCTTAAAACCATACTTTAGGCTGTGTAATATTTGGTTGAATAAAAATGTCATCTTTACATTTTTTATTTAAAATCTTCATTGTTGCATGTTTGTGAGTTCTGATTTCTTATTGTTTCTTGTTATTTTAAGCTAGGACATTTTGAACATATTTACATATGCAAGATTTTTTTCTGTATTTAGGATTATTTGCTACAGATGGAACCCCTAAAACAGTGGACATTTTTCAAGTTGTTGGAAAATGGTGTTTAATGGCATTCTCAAATATTACTACTATCAAGTTTGTTTCCTATATATATCACCACCAACACTAGATGCTACCATTTTAAATATTTTTACTAATTTGATGTTTTTAGAAGCAGTCCATTGTTTTAATTTGCATTTCTTTGATTACTAGTGACGCTGAGTGTTTTTCCATATTCTCTACTTGTTGCATTTCCTCTTTTTGTTAATTGAATCTTGTGGTTGGTGTATTTTTAATTTTTTCTTTCCCTTTCAAAACCCCTTCCTGTGGGGTGGAAGAAAGCACCCAGGGGGAGCCAAGTACTGACACCAGCAGAGCGAGGAGTCCATTCTACTGACCCAATGAACAAAAATTGGAGTTCCACCTGCTAGGATCCTTGCCACCTTTGGGTACCCTAGAGCTTTGCATAAAGCACTTTAGACTCAACTCTTCCTCCTGTTTACTGGGGATACGGGGTCTCAGTCATGAACTGAGGAACTCATTCAAAACTAAAAACAGCCCTGATGAGTATAATTCCCCTGACTCAGCTTCTGCCATGAGCGTCTATCATCTACTCTACTCTTCCCAAACTCCCCTACCCCAGCCACCAGCTCTTTTCCTCACCATAAGAATGGAACATATCCAGCCATGAACACTTTTCTCTGGACCTTGTTCTTCTTGGGCACTTTTACAGTATCTTTTCTTTCTGGTTAGACCTTTCATCTGGAACTGTTTCTCTGAGGATATATTCCGGGGACTTGGTGGTATGCGAAACTGTTATAAGCTATTATACTGACATGGAAGAGATTGAGAATTTGTTGTCCAATGCTGCGAATCCTGTGGAGTTCATGTGTCAGGTAAGGATGTTGAACAGAAACCTTGAGTTCTCTGGTCATGTAGTTTCTACGGATGATTCAACCGCTGGGTGGGAGATGGCTGGATTTAAAATCTGACTGTTTTCACTTTCACATTCAGGCCTTTAAAATTGTGCCTTACAACACAGAAGCTCTTGATAAACTACTAACTGAATCTCTGAAGAACAACATTCCTGCAAGTGGGCTGCACCTCTTCGGAATCAACCAGCTAGAAGAAGAAGATATGATGACAAGTGAGTTAACCAGTGAACCTCAGGGAGCCAGCGTGGGTTGATTTCAGCCTGTTGGCTTCAGTACCCAACACACCTGTGCTTGTGCTCCGTGCTGGTTCCTACATCCTCTGAGAAGGAGCCATTTTTTGCGGTAGCCAGAGTCTTCAAAATTCAATCTGAATACTTCATTCCCTTGCTAAAATTCCTTTGTGATTCCCAGTGGCCTTCTAGATAAAGTAAATGAACTTCTTGGCCTGTTTAGGAGCCCAGCCCAGGGGCTCCTGTTGCATTTCTACCCTCATCTCTCTCCACTCTCCCCCATGGCTTCTGTGCTCTCCTCCATGTCTGGCATGAACTTATTCCATCTATTAACACTGCCCTGTTTCTTGTCACCTCAACACATGGGAATAGAGTTTCTTCCTTCCCTCCTTGTTGTCATCTACTTGGTTAACTTCTCTTTGCCTCCCTGCAGCATTTTAGGTAGCACTTTCTCAGGAAGACCTTCTTGAGTCTCTGGTTTCATCCGGGTTCTGTGAATTCCTTAGGTAGGTGGGCTTCCCTAGCATGCGCGTGTCCTGTCCTAGCAGTTCTCAGAGGTGTTTGTCTTCCTCGCGAGGCTGTCCGCTATGAGGGTGGGACTGTGCCTTGATGGCACAAATTAGATATTTTTTGGATAAGGGGAAAGCAGTCTCTTCTGTATGTGTGGCACGTGGGAGATGGAGACCTACGGGAGAGCCACTTGCACGGGAATGGCTCCTGGGGCTCTGGGCAGGATGCTCATTGTGGTGCTTCTGTGGACACTGCTCTTCCTTCATGCTGTGGGTCCTCTGTCACCTGCCTGTGTTTCCTTTTTCCATACTTGAGAGAATCATAAAGATGAGGAAACGTACCTTTAGTCCTCATCCTTTTATTGCCTCTCCTCATTTTCCTACTGTGGAATATTCTTGCATTGCTTCCAGCAGATGTTAATATTCCCTATTCTTAAACTTGGAGGTACAGGAACGGGTATTTCACAGTCTGACAATGTGGGACTCTTAATCCTTAGAATCATATGTTTACATTCTTAATCCCAAGAATCATATCCTGGTAAATAATAAGGTAGAATTAACTTATTAGAAGATAAATGTGTGTATACACATATACATGTATATACACTACATATATATGTGTATATAGCACTCATATACATGATATATGTAAATAGTATATAATCACATAGCCATGTATACCTGTGATATAGCTCACTATATACACTTCACTGATGCCCTTAGATAGCAACTTTGAGGGAAAAAATTGCCCCTAAGCTCACATCACAAATATGTCTGTTATCTTGGTCAAGCTTAACTTGCTGGATCCAGAGGCTGGTAAGAGGAGAGATTATGGGGAGCCAGTGACTCTCAGGAGGTCTTTGCTTTCCATGAATCCGAGGGCTAATAGATGTCCCAAGATTCGTGTGTATTGATACCATTAAGCATTCAATATCTCTCCCAGATAGGAAGCTCATTGAATACCTTTGAGATAATTGGGCAAGATTTTCTAGTTCAAAACTGAGGGCAATAGAGAGGCTAAATAACATACCCAGGGTTTCTCTGTCCTTTTGGAGAAAGAAGGTAGGGTTATTGGATTTGCTAATTAATGAAAACACCACTCATTTTGTCATAGGAGGGCATGATCTCTAGTGCTGTCCCAGGGGATGTTGTCTGATGTTAGGTCAGGAAGCGGGCACGTGGTGATTAGCACCCCCAGGATGCCATGCTGGGCCTGGCAGCTCTGTGTCTGTGAAACACAGTGCCTTGTGCCTTCGTTTCTACCTGTCACCTGAAGTCTTCCTTGACAATCTTTCAGATCAGAGAGATGAAGAACTGCCTACCTTGTTGCATTTTGCTGCAAAGTATGGACTGAAGAACCTCACTGCCTTGTTACTCACCTGCCCTGGAGCCCTGCAGGCATATAGTGTGGCCAACAAGCATGGCCACTACCCCAACAACATCGCCGAGAAGCACGGCTTCAGGGACCTGCGGCAGTTCATCGACGAGTATGTGGTAAGGCTGAGGCAGGAGAGGCTCTGGGACTGAGAGCACAGTGTGGTGCCAGGCTGCCTTTTCACCAGAGACATGGTCAGATTTCATCTCAAGTATGTCCCTCTGTGCCACATGCTGGCACAACTACTCTGAGAGTGTATGTGGGGCTAAGGGACGAGTCTTGGCGTCTCATGGACCTGGTTCAAATCCTGGACCAACATTTGTCAGCCAGGTGACTTTATAGATGACATATCCCTTCTCTCAATTTCCTAATATGAAGAAGATAGTAACCGTTCCCATCAGCGGCCATGAGGGTAAAAGGAATATGTGTAATACACTGAGGTCTACCCTTAACGAACTTGCAGTGAATTCTACAAAGTTGATGCTGATCCCTCAATCAGTCACCTAGAGAGGTGGCCACCAATGCAACTTGGTGAGATGCCCCCAGCCACCTTGCATTAGGCCCAGGTGAAAGGTAGTAAGACTGGTTCATTCCTTAGCAGAGACCACAATAAGACTCTGTACCTGAGGTTTTGGGGAGGCAACAAAACTCTTCCTACTGACCCTCTACCTGGGTCTGACTGGTATTAAAGCAGATATGCCCAGTTCCACTGCTCATCCTGTTTTGGGCCCTTCTTTCCTGCTTGATCATTGAGCTCTTGGTCCTTCTCTAAGTGTAATCTCACCCCATCCAAGGTGGAAGTCCACGCCGACCATCACTGGTTCCATTGTCTGGAAGCAGCTGACTTCCTGATGCTCCCCCTTTCCTTGACCTTTGAGATTCACAGAGAGGGTTCAAGAATAGCTCAGTCTCTTGTTCAAAGCTGTGACCTCAAAATGAACAAGAAACACATTTCAGTCTTTGCTTTCTACCTGCAGAGGGAAAAGTGTCTGACATGTCCTCAGAAACTCAACTCTCTGCTCTGACAGTCTACAAGACAGTGACTCACCAAGACACACAAAGGGCCCCCCAAAATCTGAGAATGATTAAGTGTTTTGAATGAATAGAATATTACAAGTCCCTGTTTGCGATACAATTAACATGCAAGTGCTTGCAGCAGGGGTACATTTACTCAGCTTTACTTTGCCCAAGTCACAATGTGTAAAATGCTGTGTTTCATTTCCATGCCACTCATTTTTACTGAGGAGAGACTGTGCTCATATAATAACTACTCTTTATTAGGTTAATTTTATTGGTAGATGCATTGTCTCATTTAGTCCTCACCACAATCCTTTGAAGCGGACAATAGCATCATCCTTCTTTAAAAAACGAGGGAAAGGGCTTCATAAGGCAAAGCCATGTGCCTTGGGTCACACCTAGTAAGGCTGGACATAGGATTTGAACCAAGCTTGGTGCTAAAGCTGGGGCTTGTTATCTTGTTCTGAGTACCAAGGGAGTGTAGAGATGCCTTTTCAGTTCGTACTACATTTAATCTGGCTCACATTTCCCATAGCATCTTGGGGCTCTAACCGCAGCATCCAAAGCATCACTACCGCAGGCTGTCCCTCTGTGCTGCTTGTGACCCTTTTTCGCTTTCCACCACACTGAAGCCAAATGAGACCCTGGGCTGGGTCTCCAGCACCACACAGCTGTCACCCAGTCCGCTGCTTGATCTCCTTGGAGACCTGCACAGAATGTCAGTAGCAGTTTAGCCCTGTGGGGGCAGTGGTGATGAAAAGGAGGATTTCTGTGGGTTGATGCTGAAATAAGGGTTGTGAAATGCAAAATTTCTTACCAGGAAAAGTTGTGCAGAGCTTTCAGGGAACCCAGCTCTCTGACTTCACAACCCGCTGAAGGCAGAATGACAGAGACTTCTGGCCACTTCATTCGAGGCAGCCTCTCCTCTCAGGCACACAGGCACCACACCGTGGGGCCACTTGGGAGAAGCACACAGCCAGGCATTTTGCAAAGCCTGCTGGTGTGAGTGGAAACTGGTGACGGGAGACTGAGTGGGTGCATCTTAGCTGCAGGCCTGGAGCTCAAGTGAGTTTCCATGTGGTCAGTCAGTAAAGACTGCACCTCATGTGTGATTTGTTCCTCTTTGAGGAACTACCAGGATGTAGTCAAAAGGTCACAAGCCAGGACTGTGGGCCCTGGAGCCAGGCAGTGACTGTTTCTGAGCGTTGCTCAGTGGACATTTACCAGGTGTCTCCTGACACATGGCCCTGTGCTTGGTGTTGGGCTAAGATACGAAGATTAAAGTAAAATATGTGAAACATAGCAGGACATGGCACCTGGCCTCAAGGAGCTTTCCGTCTGGAAGGGAATGCAGCAGACAGCGGCAGCCTGACTGCCTGTCACCAGCCCGCTCGAGGGCCTTGCGACCCCTGAAAGTGCATGTCCCCATGTGCCTGTGGGTCCATCTTCTCTTTCAGGAAACTGTGGACATGTTGAAGAGTCACATTAAAGAGGAACTGATGCAAGGGGAGGAGACGGACGCGGTGTATGAGTCCATGGCCCACCTTTCCACAGACCTGCTCATGAAATGTTCCCTCAACCCCGGCTGTGACGAGGAGCTGTATGAGTCCATGGCTGCCTTTGCCCCCGCTGCCACAGAAGACCTCTGTAAGTAACGTGGCCCAGCTCTGTGTCCCCTCTTCTAACAAACACGCTTCTTCCTTCTGGTGTGAGGGGAAGTCCCTGGCTCACTCCCCTCCCCGAAACAAAGATCCTGTTTTACACTAAGTTAAGTCTGTCATCATGTGCTGTGACTGGCAGATTCCTTCTATGAACTTCCTCTGTTGTGCCTGCTGTGTGACTGGAACATTCCAGCAGGTCCTGGAAGTCAGCGTTGATGAAGTTGTTGCCTCGTGACTCAAGGAGCTAAATCAGTGGTTGTCCACCCAGTGAGGCCCAGTGGATCTTTAGAGAAAACATTTTGTAATATCCTATTGAATGTCCATGACCTCCTTACTGCTACAAGACATTCATGCATGTATAACCTACCTACCTATGAAGTTCTCAGAGAAAAATGAACAGGTAACAAGAACACAGTGAAGGTGTCAGATACCTACACTCAGAACCACTGCTGGTGTTTTGGCCTCAGTGCTCAGCAATGTATATTTGCTGTGCTGGAGGCTCAGCCAGACACGGCTCCCAGCAGTCGGCATTAAACTTCTAAGTTTTCCTAAGTGAAATGATTCTGACTCTTCTCTCCATTCTCATTGTAATTAGTTCCTGGAAAATTAGTATATATTAAAACTGCAAAAATAGAAATTTTATGTAGATATAAAGTAATTCACCTTCTAGGCTCAAAAAAGTATATGTAGGTATCTTTAGGGTAGCCTGATTTTATTGGCTTACTATATAATAAACTTATTTCCAAAATAAATCCCCAGGACATGGTTGCTTTTCTAAGTTGAAGAACAATTTTTTGTTTGTTTTTGGTTGTCTTTATGGTTTTCCCTAATAGCAGAAATAATGGGTTTTTATAAAACCTTGAGACAAAATAGAAATGTATAATGGAGTTGATAAAGTCCATATAACTCTGCCCAACCAACCAATATGGCACCAGTAATAGCCCTTATATTAGCCCTTATTTTCTCTGGTATCTGCTGACATTAAATATAAAATATTTATATTTTGTGCTTTTGTTCATGCATATGCACAGGTATGGGCAAATCCACATGTGTATTCACTTTTCAATAGTGAAATATTGAAAAGTCACAAGGGGGTGAAGCAGTTCATTGCGCACTTGCAGCATGACTGGGGTCCTCTCCCTTCTCCCTTCCCGCCTCCCCTTCTGCAGTTAAGTTCCAACACCATAATGGCACTGCCTTTGAAGAAGGAGAGGAAACCTGCTCAAAACACTCCTATGGATTTTCAAAGCCACCATAGGGGGCAATGTCGCTCCCCTTGAGAATGTTGGGTTTTAAGGCTGGACCAGGGTTGAAGCAGACACGAAGAGCCTCCTTAATAAGTTGGCACTATTTACTATCAAATGTTAAGCACTGTGACGCTCTGCCTAAGACTTAGGTCTCCTTCCCTCTGATTAATAGATCCCTCAGGCAGGCAATTACCCATCAGCATATCAGCTACATTGATGACGGACTTTCTGGAATGGGCTAGATTGAATGTTGCCACCTTTTAGCCTGAAAAGAGGACAGTGGCTGCTAAGTGCTTGCCAGGGGAGATGTAAAGGCAAAGAGGCGGATGTTGTCTTCTGGCACTTTCCAGCCACGGGAGAACTTGGAAGTACTGGTGAAACTCTTGCTCAATGAGCCCTTTTTGGGCAGGAATGACAGGAGGGAAAGCCTCTCTCCATCATCCACACTGTATCTTACAAAAGCCTTAAAGCAACCCTAGAAGGATGCTTTTATTACCTGTGCTTTATAAATGAGAAGACTGAGGCACTGAGAGGTAAAAGAGCTTTCCCAGAGTCTCACTGCTAGTAAGTGACAAAAGTCCAGGTTTGAATCGAGCTCTCTGTCCTAGAACTGTATTATTCATCCCATGCCAGAAATTTTCATGCAAAGCCACATATTTCGGTCCTGGTTTCTTTCAGAAAAATTATCCAACAGCTACAGCCATGCTTCCTGTTTCTGCAGCCCAGACATTAGCTCACAAAACAGCCTCTGGCGCCCCCTGCCCTCGCTCGCCCTCCCTCCCTCCTTGCACACACCCAACCAGCCTATATTCAGTGTATTTCAGCTACTTGCCTTTCCCGCTGCTAGAGAGACAAAGGCAGAAGTGCTGGGGAGGGATGGGGGCAAACAATCCTTTATTCCACAGTGAAACAGAGACCCCTTATAAGAACACTTAGACAATGATCAGCACCCACTCGGGGACCCAGACATTAGGTGTCATATTTTTACCCTGTGCACTTCTCATGGGGCTGTTGAATGGTAAAGGAACTCCCCACGGAGAGACAAAGACTAAGACCCGTTATCAGACTGGATGCTGCCACTTGTGAAACCCCTGTCAGTGGAAAGCTGCAGCGTGTGTTGTTGGGGGGCGAGGAGGGGGGACATATAAAGGCACCTGCCACCCATTCCTCACTTGTTGGTCCCTTTGTAGGGGGAGCAGCGAGGCTCTCCAGCGAGTGAGTACTATGAAACTAGACTGATTTTTCGGCCAGTTGGCTACTTGTAAAGTTACATGGGGCCAAAGGGATTCTGCTGTGGAGGGGGAAGGAGGCTGCCTTTGAAGAAGGAGAGGAAACCCGCTGCCTTTTTCATTTGCCAGGTCATATGCACGCTCAGTGTTCTGATTCTGGACATGGTTTAGTTTGTGTTCCGTCTCTGTGGATGAATGTTGAAAGAGCAGCACTTGAATCTGGGCGGAATCATTCATATACTACCAATGATTCTGGGAGAAGGCAGGTTAGTTTATAAAGAAGTAGGGTAGAAGGCAAACTGATAAACAGACGATGCGTATTTGCAGGATTGTAAGTTAGCTACCAGCCCTTTCAAGTCAAGGACTCCTTTACCTGTGTTATCTGATCATCATTGGGCTTGGTAAGTATCATTACCTCCATTTGACAGGGGAGAAAACTAAGGCCCCGAGATTTCATAACTTAATTAAGCCCCATGGAGCTGGGTCAGGAATCTGGGTCTGCAGATTCCCAAGGGACATGTCTGCTGCCTCACTGGGCTACAGACTGCCCTGGGCTGCGCTGCTTCTTGGTTCTACACGTGCCAGAGCCCGAGGAACTAGTTCTAAGTGTCTAGGCAGCTGAGTTTACTATTGTTCAACCCCAGAGGTGGAAAATAAGCATATCGAAGAGAGGGTTGTGTGTCATTACTGGCCTACCTACTTGCTCACAGAGAAAGCTTGGACTCAGGCTGGGGTCTGTCTTGGCAGTCACTAGCTTGTGGGCAAAATCTGCCTCTTCCTGACAAGGAACCCAAAATAACCTGTGAGTAGGAAAGATGGCAGGGAATCTCCCACTATTGAGCAAGGGGCAATGGGGAGAGTGTAAGCTGTCGGGCTCTGAGCCTGAGATTTCATGAGATCAGACCTGTCTCTCTATGTGTGATGTGGACACCTACACACACACACACACCCACACACACACACACACACACATTCACTCACTCACTCTCACTCACTCATGGCCTTTAGTTTAAGATATGCTGCCACCAGGTGGTAACTTCATGTCTTCATTATCAAGCCTTCAGTTACACTGCCAATTCTCTTGAGAGTGTTTTGTTTAAGACTCCACTGATTTGGACCATCAACTTTAGATAACACTGTAGAATGTCTTTCTTAAGGGCAAATTTATGCACACAATAGGTAAAAATGAAGGCGACAAACCTCTGTTTGGATATTTTCTTCATCTTGGATTTTTACTCTTGTTGGGCTCTTTGACTCTACCCTTGTCTTCAGAAAATGATTTGGTGGCCCTGGTGGTCTTTCAACTGAGGTAGTAAGTTGGTTTAGAAAGCCTCACTCAGCAACTGGTCACTTCCCTGAGGCCCTGGGTTCGAAGGCCTTGAGAGCCATTTCTCAGAGGCCTTGTCCAGCTGTTTCCAAGATCATCTGTATAAATATTCCACGGACATGTCTTCCTTGTACAAGGAGAAAAGGGTGAAAGAAGAAAGGCTAGTACTTCACTTCTGGAAATTGTAAACTCTCAGGAGTCTGCTTCATGTGGCTCCTGCCTTGACCTTTTGCAGACTTTTTGCCATTGCCCCCTTCCATGGCTCAAGTTTAAGCTTAGCAGAGAGCTGATGGAGCTGCCGACTTGCTGTCTTCCCTTAGCAACCTCCGTGGTTATCGGTGTCTAGTGCCCCATTATCATCTCCAACAGTGTTTTCTTTCCCAGGAGCTCTGATTTCAGGCAGTCTCTCAGCTGGGTCTCCTCTGAGCGGAGGGCACTTGTGGGCACAGTTAAGGTCCTCATTTCCCAGTCCTATAGGGTCTGTGCTCAGCTTCAGGACCATGTGTAAGCAAAACTGTTAAGCTACTGGAGCTACCTGCACCCTTTCTTTCTCTCAGGAGCTCTACCTGTGGCTGCTGAGCCTCTCAGCTTCATACTGTCCATCTTGGGGAGACTGAGTAGAATCAAGAGACACTTTTAGCAGGGGAAAGGGAGGCTGGTGTGGGAGAGGAGACTTGGGTCTTCCTGACTTAAGTTGCTTTTGACTCATCCAGACACATAATAGCTGTGTGTGTTGGGGGGGGGGCTTAGAGGGGGAAGGGGGGTGAAGTTATGTAGTCTTGAAAGGTTTAAAGTTAATGAGATAAAATCCCACCTCCAAAGGTAACTTGTGTAGCAGCCCGTGTATGCTTAAGAAAACCACAAAACTTATGTTTGTTGTTTTTTTTTAATTCTTTCATTCTTAGGGCATTCTTTTTCTTTGCCTTTGTCAGTCTTCATTCCTTAGCATCTCTGATTTCAAACTGCTGTTCCCCTTTGCCTGTCTCTTTGTTTCTTTCTAATGCTTTGTTCTGTCTCTAGTTGTCTGTGTCTGTTTCTCCCCATCCCCTCTTGGAACCTTCCTCCCCCTCCCTCCTCCTCTGTGCCTGTGTGTGATGCTGTCTCTCCTGTCTCCTCTTCTCATACTCTCTCTTTCCCCCACTTTTCCACTAGGATATGGAGGGTTGCACTGTGTAATCGACAT